CAGCGTGCAAAATAGCGCGTGAATGATTCGACCAGAGGGTGCAAAAAAGATTCCATGCGAAAGAATTCTTCGGATGTCGCTCTGAACTTGTTGAAAAGTTGCCGACGATTCACCATTCAGCAGATACTCATGTATCTGATGATCTTTCCCCGTCCTTTACGGCCTCACTCGCCCCGATAGCTCACTTTATTTCCTGAAGGTTCCTTTCCCTTGATGCGCTTCCTGCCATCGCAAACCAGAAGTGAGTAGTATCCGTTGACTCGATATAAAGATAGAGTATACTTGGTTCGGCTACTCCACGCTCTGACGAATCAGTCGGCGGGCTGATCCCTGGTCTATCAAAGATAGACGATGAGAACTGGAAACGTCTACATCTGAGGCTCAGACCAAAAGAGTCAACAACTGTCTTCACCATCCTCGTCGACTGCAGCTACGGTCTAATCGGAAGTCCGCAGCACATCCAGACAACAAAGCCAATTGTGACCGTATGTTTTTGAGTGACTTTCCTTCGAAAACTTTAGACTCTCTATGTGCATCGAAAGTGCGGATCTTTTTCGACTTCAACACGAAAGAACAGGTTGATTTGTGACGCAGAGTGATGAGATGTTGAGCGGATCTTGTCAAATCAGGAAAAACAGCGACCTGGGGAAGCGCAATCGGATGAAGAGTTGGGAACCCAGTACATGTTTCGTATTCACTGATACGACATGAGTCTCCATTAGAAAGTTTCGCAGAGGAGGTCTGAATCACCACGATGACCTAGAAAGGCATGTATAAAGTGTTCATAACCAATTTGAACTTCAACCACGAAGTTCTGAAGAAAAAGCAGGCTTGAAGGTGTCGTCTGGCTCCTCATAGAATGACGTCCCATTCATTCCTTTCCCTTCTCTGACGGCGTCCGTTTAGCTGTCTTAGTCCACATGAATTATATCTCGGTGGCTCTTCTTTCAAACCCTACTGCCGTTTATTCGAGCTAAGAAACAGGTGTGCTTCAATTGGTAAAATCTACACGTTTCTTCTGCGATCAAAGAAGGTGCCGATTGATCATACAGGAAGCCTTCCTTACACAAGGTGTCCGGACACACTTTATGACACCATTCCGCGATGAAATATAATTTCTCAATGTGACAGCGACAAAAAACAGATTTCAGTTTTTCATTGACGTCTCGCGTCCCTCGTTCAATTTCTCCACCCTTTTTATATCTCTGTACCATCACTTTGCTATGGCGGGGAGCCTCCGTCCTTTTGTCGTCTTCTTCATCATGCTGTCCAGTTTTTTATGGTCTGCGTCACGTATTTCGCGTAGTTGCTCAGATCCACATTGTGCCATCATATCTAGAGCCTTTCTGATGGTTATTTTTTTTAATCCTGACTGCCGAAGCTACCTGGATCCTAATTGCCTTGTTAACTCATTTTCCTACGGAACCAACAACCCGGTGCTCATCCTTTCCTTCTCGTGAATGCATCTCAGCTTCTCCCGTTGGGGCATGAATTCCATCGCAAGGCACAGATCCAGATCTTCCTCTTCAGTGAGGCTACCTGTTACTACCTAACATCTCGAAACATCTTACTTCCATTGTCATTATGCATGTTCATAAGCGCAGACCCGCTGCAACGCGCGTGATGCACTCCAGTTGCAAAAAAAGCGCCCCGATTAGAACTCGAAACGCGCAACGAGAACTGATCGGACGCCGACCGTAATATCGTGTAGTACAATTAGAGAGTATTTGAATCGTTGGTAGGGGAGGTCGCCCTCCCGCTCAGATCAGACAGTCGGTTCGATTTGACTCCCCTTTCCTTTGGAAAACTTAATGATTTAGGGGTATCAGGGTTGTGTTGAAAGCGCCGCAGTACCCAAAGCATGCTTCAACAGAACTGCTCACATTCTTCGTCGACGCGGACCGTGTCTAATGGAATCCACCCCCTCAGCACAGCCAGACAAACAAAGGCCCTAATTGATGACCGTGTTGCGACCTTTGCTTCCTAAGCCCTACGACTCTCTCTTGTTGCATCGAAAGTGGGATCTTTCGATGCAAGGAGGAGATGGTGACCAGAGGAGGAGATGGTGATCGGATTCCTTGTAAACGCAGGAACAACAGCGACGTGGTCAGGCGAACCTCCGATTGAAGATGTTGAGAAACGCAAGTTACCATGGATGGTATGGTTCGACATGATAAACTCGGACAGCCTTTCACCCTGCTCATTGTACTATTTTCCTTGAGTCCCGATATGAAGTTCTTCAGACTTAGGCGTGCAAATCACCGAGCGATGGACCCCCTGAAGGAGGTATGGAGTCAACCATGTTTTGAAGTCAACCAGGAGAAAAATGCAGGTTAGAGGTCGTTGGGCATCCTCATAGAATTGGACGTCCCACGTCATTCCTTCCTTCCCTGACGGCTTCTTCCGCGTGGTGTAGGCGCGCATGTATATCACTGGGAGCTCAGAAAACGGGCTTGCAAACTGGTAAATCTACACGGTGTTCTCTTTGATATCAAAGACAGGGTGCACGATTGATCAGCTACAGGAAGCCTTCCTTACACAAGGTTGCCGGACACGCATTACGACCCATTCCCGCGAATCAAAAATGCTTAATGAGAGCGACAGGGTTCTTCTGTCATTGAGCCGGTCTCCGTAACTCGTTCAGTTCTTCACACCCTTTATATACAGTCGGATGCGCCGGCTGTCGCGGCCGGCGCTCCTCGCTTCTGTTACATGCGCCGGCGTTCGCAGCGGACGCATGCAGATTTGCCGCGTGTTAAGTTAAGGATCGTTGACCAACCACACTGTTCAAAGAAATCTTCTGCATCAGCCAAGAACTGAAAAGCAGCGCTTGTTCCGTCAAGGCGCAGAAGCAGCAGCAGCGCCCCCCCCCGCATCACAGAAGGAGGAAAGCGGCTTAGCCAGCGATCCGACTGGTACGTTCATAACCTACACGGAAATAGTGCAGCCTGTTTGGACAGCCACTGAAGCAGCCTATAATTTTATGCAATCTGTCTTCCTAAAGCGTCTTGCTGGAATGCACTACCGCATTCAGCAGTGGAACCCTTTAAATGGCCCTCACTGAAGTTGCTGATGGAAGATAATTGTGGTAAGAGTGATAAAGTCAGTTGCTGCTGTTCATAACATCTCTGTAAACAAACCACATGCATTTGGAATAGAGCTGGCTTAGCGGTCGTACACGATGTCGTTACTAATAAGCAGTGAGGAATGAGTTCTGTTGGAATCACTGAGATCGTTATACTTGAGTCATATCGATCGCATTGTTGTTGTGAGCGGTGAAGCGGATTTTCCCATGCTACCTTGTCAATTTTAGCTCCTATCGCTTCCGTACCCGCCAATAACACTCCCGTCCCGTATCACTATCATATCACCCTGTATCGCCTCTCGGATCAGAGGTCCCACTGTTGCTGTAACCTGCGCCACGAATTTGATGACCCTCCTCTTCCGAGGCCCCTTATCGATCTTATCAAGTGTTATCACCTCCTGTCACCCACCAAAAGTGTTCCCGTCCTGCCATGTATATCACTCCTTGAAATCACGGTCCCGCAGCTGCTGCAACTTGCGCTAGATGTTGGTCACCCCCCCCCCTTCTAAGGCCCCTTATCGAATCTTATCAAGTGTTATCACCTCCTGTCACGCACCTAAAGTGTTCCCGTCCTGCCATGTATATCACTTCTTGAAATCACGGTCCCACACCTGCTGCAACTTGCGCTACGAATTCAGTCACCCTCCCCTTCTACGGCCCCTTATCGTATCTTATCAAGTGTTATCACCTCCTGACACCCACCAAAAGTGTTCCCGTCCTGCCATGTATATCACTTCTTGGAACTGTCATCCTATCTTTTCTGCGACGCTCGCTATGAATTTCGTGACACACACACACACACACACACACACACACACACACACACACACACAATTAGGCGGATTATAGTATAGCTAGGATCGTTTCACCATGACTGTATGGCGCTGGAGCCTCCGTCCCTTGTGTCTTCTCTCAGCATGCTGTCGCATGTTTTTGTTCTGCGCCTCACTGTTTTTTCGCTATGTTTGCTCAGATCCAGCAGGTGCCTTATACAGAGCGCTTTCGATGGCTTATTTTGTTTATCCTTCACTGCGGAGCTACCTGGCAATGCCTAATTGTTGTTAACCTCATTTCCCACGCGACAACAGACGCGCGCGCTCAATTCCTTTCCTTTCTCTGTGATATGCACTCGCGCATCACTGGTTGGTGCGAGAACTTTCCCAATCGCAAAGGCGCTACCAGGATCTTCCTTTCAGAGACGTTATCACTGTTCACAGCTAAGCATCCTCGAATACGATCTACTTCCATTGGATTATGCAGTGTTCATAGATCGCACTGACGCGCTGCAACGCGCGTGGATGCACTACAGTTGCAAAAGCGCCCCGATAGACTCGAAAGCTGCTGCAGACGAGAACTGATCGGAGCCGACCGCTTGTACTTACAATTAGAGAGTATGGGGAATCGGAGAGTCGGCGCTGTCAATCAGACAGTCGGTATCGATTGGCACTCGCCGCTTGCTCTTTGGAAGACTGAATAGTAGGGTACCAGATTGTGTGAAAGCGCCTAACCCTGTGATCCTATACTCTCTCAGACGCAGGCATGATCGATACCCATCTGCGTCTATAGCATTGGGGCGTCCTTGCAGTGGTAGTGCGTCGACGCGCGTTACAGCGCCTCGTCCCGTCATCGCCAATTCTGAAAGCTGCCTCACACAAGCCCACTCGAATACAACGACCTATGCTTGACATACCAGGCCCTAACGCGGAGAAGAGATTAGTGAACGGTGGACAGAGCTTTGGTGTTCCATGGCGATTCAGTTGTAAAGTTAAGCCAACGTAAGAAAACATTCTACTGTAAATCTCGAAAGAGCGCAAGACTGGTACAAATTACATTAAATCATGCAGATTTTGTGAGAACGAAGAGGTCGAAATATCCTGACTATTAAGCTTCTAAGTTTTCACCATTGAAGATTTGATATTCAGATAAAAAGAGCAAGCATAGGACGAAGAGCAGTCATAAAAAAGCCCTCGCGCAGCAGAAGAAGCACAAAAAAGACAAACATGGATCGAAGAAACACCCAAAGAAAGCATTAGGAGGAGGATCCTCCAAAGGATCTAAGAAAGGATCTAAAAAAGGATCTGTGAAAGGATCCAAGAAAGGATCTTCTAAGGGATCCAAGAAAGGCTCGTCGAAGGGATCCAAGAAGGGATCTTCTTTGGGATCTAAGAAAGGATTAGCCGTACAGCGTAAGTGTACCGTGACTATTCGCTGATGCATCTAGTGGTTTAGTAAATGATTGTTTCTCGAGTTAACCCTTTCCCAAGTGTAAAAAGTGGGAGCTGCATCCAAAGTGAGAGCTAATAACCCTCTGTTTCGCTTGAAACGTGGCGGGAGAGCCTTGCCGGGAGGCAACTTAACCTGAACCTGCTAGTTCGCTGCAAATGAACGGGTGTCAGGCACCATGACTTTGCCACGGCATTAAACCCGTTCTTTGCTACTTGTTCAGCAACTACGCGACAACAATTATTAGAAAACCGACTATATGATACCGCATTGTCACTTGCCGCTCAAGCAGCTGGTGGAGAACGGGTTTGGCAGCGCCCCAGACTTAGCCCGCCTGACGCGACCTTTCCTCCACAGCGGACCAGACTATAAGCTATTCTGAAGATTTTTCAGGAACGTCCAGTAAGCATGGAAAGCGCGACGGCTCAGCTAAGCTATCTGGAACATTAAGCAAACAAAAGCGAAGACCGTCTAAGCCATCGAAAAAATCTTCCAAAACTAAAAAACATCACAGAAAGGAGGGAAAGTCTAGCAAAAAATCGTCAAAGAAGGGAAGCCGAAAACATAAGACATCATCGAAAAAAACGAAGGACAAACATCGCAAGAAGGAGGCGAAGGAGAAACATCGGCACAAAAAGAAGGGTAAAAAGAAGCGTGAGAAGATTGCCAAACCGTAAATATTTTCATTATTAGGGAGTTCTAGGCAGCATCTAAAACAATTTGATGGTGAGGTGCTTACAAAGAGTAGCCACGACAACTTTCACTAGAACAAGGTTTCTCCAGAGAAATGTGGTCTGAATCATTGATAAGCCATTTATCAGGTGAACGGAAGCTGATTTTCAGGTTCACAACCATGACCCACAATACTTCAGTAGTTTTTCGATATTCCTCCATTCACCGGTGCCTGTATCACCTGTGCTCCCATTGATCATCGAGTTCTTCGCACGGGCACCAGTAAGGCTGCGTTTATACTTTGCGGCAGCGTAGCGTAGCGCTTCCAGCGTACGCCAGCGGCAGTGCCGAAGAGAGGATGCATATCGATCTAGCTTCACCAGCGTCACCAGCGGCACGCTGCGCGCTGGCGTAGCGAGGGCACGGGAAGCATAGCTATCGATCTAGCTTCACCAGCGTCACCAGCGGCACGCTAGCGCACGCTGGCGTAGCGAGGGCACGGGAAGCATAGCTATCGATCTAGCTTCACCAGCGTTTCTCCAGCGGCAGGGAGTAGAGACTATGTGGCCGTGAGAGACGCGGAATCGACGTGTATTGTAGAGACTATGTGGCCGGCAGAGACGCGGAATCGATGTGTATAGTAGAGACTATGTGGCCGTGAGAGACGCGGAATCGACGTTTATTGTAGAGACTATTGTTGCCGCCGTGGATGACGCAGCAAGCGATGGGTGCATTGTAGCAGACTAAGCGGCGAATGAGGACGTGCTGCAAACGATGTTTGTACCCTCCAGCGTCTCCCACTAGTCTCTCCTCCCCTGCTCCGCCTGCAAACGCCTAGCAAAACGCTGGTGTAACGCCTGTTGGTGTTCTGTAAAACTCTGAATCGCAGCTACTCGCTCAAGTGATTCGGGACTGGTGACGCGTGGCCTGCGCCCGACCCGGCGACGGCGCGTTAAGAGTGCGAAAGTCCTGGATGCATCCCCTGGCTCCACGCGCGGCTCAGCTCTGCCGCTGGCGTACGCTGGAAGCGCTACGCTACGCTGCCGCAAAGTATAAACGCAGCCTAACGTCTCCATTCGTCCCTGCAACGTGCTGGGTTCTCATTGCTCGATACCCGATGAACTTTATATCATTCGTTTAGAGCTTTCACGAAGAAGATCTGACCATGGCTCAGTTGTTTGCCTGACATCCCGTGTAATCCGTTAGGTAACGCTTGGGCCAGCAGTCGTCTTCGAAACGCATGACGTGCCGGCCCACCTGATCTTCGAAACCTTGGCAAATGCGGCGGCGTCTCTGATCTTCGATCGTTGGCGGAGTGCGGAGCTCCGGATTCCCTCTCTCACTTGCGTGTAGCGGGAAACTCCGAGCATCGCCCTTTCGATGGCGCGTTGAATAACGCCAACCGCATGTTCATCCTGCTTTCGTAGAGTCCAAGTCTCTGAGGCGTACGTCAAGGCAGGAAGGACCGCGGAATCGAAGAGGTGGGCACGGAGCTTGGTGTTCTTCGTCTTCTTCGCTATCCCTCGATGTTCTCGGAAACTCCCGAGTTCGCTTCCTGCTGCTCAGCTCTGATGTTACATCGTTCATTATATTGATTTTCCGACACGAATACACATAGCTGGAGCATTCATAGATGAATGGGGCATCGGGAACCAGCTCAAAACTTCGCTCCAGGAGCCAGAAAAGCAGATAGATTTCTCGCGACCAGGTAATGGTGCTGTCAACATGGGCGGTGCAGGGGTGTGTCCATGCAGGAGTTGCTGCTCTGCAAGAGAAAAGCCATTTTTGCTCATGCTGCCAGCTCAAAGACAGAAGCAAGGGGTTGGCTTGCAGCTCACCGACAGCGATGTCATGAATACTACCGCACCCTCCTTTCACGCGAACATGCAACTTTTTATAATGCTATAAAGCTGCTGATTGAAATCGTTCATCCTTAAAGGCAGTTGGCACGATGATTTGGTACTTGGCCTAAAATGCTAGCAGGGCGCTATATAGTGGGAAAATGGCGAAAAAACGAAGTGAAACGGTCAAAACCTATGAAGAAAAGCCTCTGTTTTTCTTAACTCAAAAAGCAGTTTTGAATGAGGTCCCCGTAGGCATCTTGCCAATAACCGCTACGGTAGGACGGCTGCACGTATGTACTCATATATCCATGCAGCACCGCGTCGCTTCATACCAATCCCTTCGCTTCATATTTTACTTAGCAAATGAAGCAATACGAGCATCAGGTACGGTCGTCCATTTGTGGGCGGGCGGGCGTTCGGTCGGTATGTTGTAGCTTGATAGAGTCTTCATAAACGTACCTTCATTGGAAAAGGCGCTATGTAGCACCTACTTGAGGCCGCGGGATTCCGCCTTCAGGTGTACCAGTCCTACTCGTCTTAGAGATTTATCGTGCCAACTGCCTTCAATTGATCATCAATGGATAGTGCAACCTATACAATTTGAAAATAAGGACAAACTGTACCCTTACCCTAGTCAATGCTACTCTTTGTCAGAAGCGAGATGAATCGCTAAAGATGAATGAGAACGGGACTGGAGGATAATGAATGGTAGCCGGGTGCCGTCACCCGACTCTGCCTGCGCTGTCCACAATGTCGATACCGACCTCGCAGCGATAACGCGCTCAGCGGTAGGGAACTACCAGAAGTGAGAATGGCAGGTAAATAGCCCGCTCGGCTATGGTCAGGGTGCGCTGTCGTGCGAGAGCGCGTGTGGAGTATGGAGACAGCTCTGAAAGATTATAGGTTCAGGAAGTCAAGGTGTATACAATTCCCCCTGAAAGCGCGTGATATCAAATGCGTCACGCTCGGGGTCGCCAACCGGGAGCAATCCGCAAGGTGCCACCACGCGCAACCCGGACGCCGTGTCCCATGGGCCTGCCTCACGTGACTCGGCGCCCTCACCTCGGTGCTGCCCCCAGTTGCGTGCTACGCGGCCCGACACATCTAATTTCACGTCGAATTATGAGGGCTACTTATACGCCCTGTCTCCCTGACCCAGAATCCCGTGACAGCCCTCAGGTAGCACCTTCCTCCAGTACCGTTCCGTTCACAATTGACCGGAGAAAGTGGCACGCTACTGCAGTTGCGGAAAAGAAGTTCTCATTTAGTGCGTTTCAGCCGCATGCTATCCTTTATTTTCAGCGTCAAAGAACAGCGCGTGTCTCCTGAGAAAAAGCACTGGATTGAGCAGGAGTTTCTTCAACCTCAACCAGGAGAAAAACGGAAGGAGGAGGAGCAAAAGTGAGCGCACTTTCTCAAATTAGCTTACGGTCTGTCTCGCGAGGAGGCACAAGCACATGACGAACTTTGAGAGAAACAATTCTGCTCACTTTACTATAGGCCTCGAATCTTAGAAAAACTTGCTGGACAGTTGTTTTCCTTCTCAGTGGACCTCGATTCTGAGGATGTCGTGAAAAGAAAAGAAGCCAAAAAGCATAGCGTATAAGCATTTCCTGGATTTCGGGTTGAAAATTCGGATCATAAACTTCGGACCAATGCTAATCTGTATTTCTACATGATCCTGTCGATGGATCTCACGATAAGTTTGGTAGGAAAGAATGCGATTGAGGGTAATCATGAACTCCATATGCCTCTAAAGGCATGCAGAACATGCGCTTTAGTTTCTGCCGTGTTACCAGTTGCTTATACAACCTAATTGAAGGCAGTGGCGGCGTTCATGCGATGCGATGTCTCTCTGGATTTCTTAGCTTCCCATAAGGATGCAGGATGTACTAGCTTTGCATCTTAAAAAATTGAGAGGATAGCGCCGTTCGCTAGTGAAGTGTCTGCCGTCCCGCCCACCTGGCGCCACACCCCCATCTTCACTTCTAATTTGATGTTAACTCTCTCCACCGAGGGAAGGAGGTGATAAGGGAGAACAGCTGATACCAACAAGTGAGAATTCGTGCAACCACTCCTTCTATTCGCCTTTGAGGCAGTTGGTGTGATATTGCTGTACTTGGTCTGAAATACTACCAAGC